TTACCTGGTTACACAAAAAAAGGAAACAAAACAAAAAAAGCAACTTTTAATGCTCTTAGGCCCTAATTCTTCCCAGAACCGCCAGGAAGTTAGTGCAAATTACCCTATGCTCGTTGAAAGCACTGGGGCTATTCAGTGTTAGGCTGTTAGGTAACATTTTACAGAAAGAGCAGCGGGTTGTTCGCATCATGATGGATCTTTATATTTGTTTTTAATTTCCTCTACCTTGTAACATTTTTGCTGGTACAAGTTTTGAGAACCTCTACATTTTAAACAGGTGGACCTTTTCAAAGCTAAATGTAATGACTTTACCATCTTCTGATCTGTTTTTCGTTTGATTTTAGGAATCAAGCTCCTTAACATTAGCCAATTGAACGATTTCTGTGCATAGACATGCATTAGAAAGAACTATAAACGTTTATTTTTATTGTCAGTTGGACGAAATCTGTTGTTTTTGTGTTTTCATCAAGCCTTGTTCCAGGCAAACTCCAACTTCGCCAATGGTTAAGTGGGCGTCAAAGGACAAAAGGATTCGAATCCGTAACCTTTAGGAGGGCTTTTTTTTTCCCCTTTGTGTTAACAGACAGTACAGCATGAAATGCATGTTCATCATTTTAAAAAATATTAGTGTTTAGATCCATTTTAACCTCTGTGGTTTTATGTACATTGTATAATCTGTACACGTACAGATTATTTCTGCATTACATGCTGCTGTGCATTTAAAATGTAGATAGAATGATTATGATGCTACTTCAGCTATGAATTTATATTTCTTTGATGTGCTCTAACCTGAATGAAAAGTCTTGATTTTTTTTATGAATGTAAAAACACACGTTTAGCATATATGTAAGAATATGGTGCTTGGGTTTTTTTCAGTTTTACAATAGCATTATAATCAGCAGTATTTGTAGTTACCTGAGTTCCAGATTCTGATGGAAATTATATTGCTCCTTGTTTACTGTAAGACGTGCTTCGCAAGATAGCAATTGTGCATTTCTTCTGTATTTTTAAAATAAGGCTGAGTATCACGTGTACGTGCTTTAGGCAACAGCTCTGACTTTAACTGCCAGCGCAGTATTAGCAAATGGTAGAATATAGTGACTTAATATCATTAGTGTGTCAGATGGCTAACGTTTTGACGTGGTGCAAAGCCTAACTCACGTCTAGGAAGTCACACGATGGCATGTAAGCGTTTTTCCCTGGGAAAATAAAACCGCTGTTGTTTTACATTAAAATCTGCTATTTTTCCCGTGGTCCAGAGAGCAGGACAACAGCAGTGTTTGTTTCGTACTTGCTTTTAAGCTCTCAAGCGGTCACTGAGGGTGAAACAACAGGAGAACACCCTTTGATTTTGGAACTGCTGACTTACCGTGCCAAAGCAGGGACGCTTTTAGGGTTTGCCCTCCGCAGGGCCCGAGCACCCCGCTTCCCCAAGGGCCAGACCTCCTCCTGGCGCCCTGCGGCCGGCCGGGCCGCTGCC